GGAAGTGGCGCTGTAGCTCAAGTGGTAGAGCGCTCGCCTTGATCTGAAGAGCTGAGGGACAGCGCCCAGGCCCAGAGTTCAAGCCCCACGGCCAACCAAAAAAAAAAAAAATAGAGTGCCTATCAGCAAGTACAAAGTCCTGAGATCAAACCCCAGCACAATAAAAAAAAAAATCAATGAATAATTTGAACACTAATCCCTTCCCCCTATACCCACTCACCTGTGATTTTTTCTGCAGCCCAGTATTTTCCTACAGTCTCCAGTGCCCAGGCTTCCTCACGATCCACAAGCAGGTATGCACTTTGAAAACTATGGCAGGAGCTTGCATCTTCGTAATAATTCCCACCTTGCCCATGTTCTTCCAACAAAGAGACAATGACATCTAAGGCTTCTTTCGCTGTTGCTCCTCTTTCTAAACCAAGCCTGAATCCAGAAACCAGAAGTATATAGTTAAATCATTTCAGACCATTGCATGATCATAATATAGCAACCAAAGTCTGGGACAAGGCTGAGTCAAGGAGCGTGTCAATGTGTGTAAACATGTTAAATATTCAGATCAATGGGTTAGCAGCACTTTAACTCAGACTATTTCTCTCATACATCCAATTACAAAGCATGAAAAAGTTTCTTTGTCTTTGACCATCTTCTAGATAAAATCCACTCTGAAAATCATGAACCAAGTCTCTCTCCCTAGAAAGGAAGACAAGCCCCTTCTTTTGGTTTGTTGACTATGTTCAGTGGAGATGACCAAATCAACTCTGGCTCTTTGCAAGACCCCTTTCCTCTGGTCTATGTTGCCTCCTGCCTACCATCTAAGCAATAGGAAATCTCTGCCCTATCTGGATCTCTACTATTCTATAGGAAATACTTTGGCCTGTTTCCTGTCATCTCACAATTCCTATGTGGAAATCCCAGCACACAATGGGGCGGCATTAGGAGACAGGGCATTTCGGGGCTGGGGCAGTGATTGAAACATAAATGGAAGCAGTGCTTTCTAAGAAAGTAGGGACACAGAAGAAAGCACCATCTATAAATCAGAAAGTAGGTCCACACTTTGACTTTGGATATTTTTGGCACCTTAATTTTTTATTTTCCAGCTTCTGGAACCATGAGCAAAAAATATCTCTTGTTTAAAAATACCCTGTTTATAGTATTCTGTCATAAAATCCTAAGTATGGTAAGACGACTGGTAATAAAGGTATTTGAATGCCAGCCAATCTTTTCTGTGCATGTCATTCTCCCTAGATCTCATTAGAAATGGACTGACCGTTGGTAAAAACTGACCGTTGGTAAAGACACAATCAAACCCTTTTCAATATTATTTTCCTCCTATCAGCCTACATCTATTAAATGGTTTACGGCTTCAGTTTTCAAAAGAACACATATTTTCTCTGAAGTGAGACATGCCTCTCACCTGCCCCAACCAATTAATGAAGCTTTTAAAGAGGGTATGAATGCTGCCATGGCTATGACCTTAAACAGATCATATAATATATCTGAATTTCAGTCTTATGCTTTCAGTAAGATAAGTGCCCATGTCATTGTGTTGATACAACCAATTAATGATGCTTTTAAAGGGGGTATGAATGCGGTCATGGCTGTGACCTTAAACAGATCACATATTTGAACTTCAGTCTTACGCTTTCAATAAGATAAATGCCTATGTCATTGTATTGATACAAAGATGGGTTTTATGAGAGAATGAACATAAAAACATACAGCACTAGTGTCTGGAACTACTTGTGCAAGAGGTAAATTTCAGGAGGAAGAACACTGTGGCAGAGAAATACATAATTCAGAGATTAAGGCTCTGATACCTGCTGGCAGTATGACCTGAAGTAATGTCATCTTTCCCATTCTTTATTCTATGGTTAGCAAAGTAAAAATCATGCTACTGTCTTCTCGGGCTGATCTGACTGAAGATGGCTCATGTTATGTATTCCATTCACTTATACAGCTGTTCATTCAGATATAATCCTGTTGATAGAAACTCAAGAGTCTTAGAACAGGGACAATAGAACTACTGAGATGATGATATAAACTTGTTCTTGATGAATTTTTAACTTGAACAATGACTGCTATTAAAATTTACTCAGTGTCATGCATCCTGGGGTGAGGGAGAAGATAATGAAACCATAAAACGTGGACTGATTCTTGTAATGGGATCTTTTTTTAATTTAATAGTCAAATCATTTTATACCAATCTATCTGATATTTCTCAATTTAAGCTCATTTTGGAAGACTCAGTTACAAAGTCTTGGTTTACAAAGTTGAACAGTAAGGCCTTGGAAGAGATATAAAAGAGTAACCTGTTCTTTTTGTGGTTTATAAGCCTGATGATTGGGTTTTCACACTGCTGTCTGAGCTAGGCCTCCCTTAAACTTTGTCATAACTTTGGCACATTACCCACTGACATGAAAAAATAAAGAATAAACCAATTGAAAGAAGTTGTCAGGCACTGGTGGCTCATACCTATAATCTGAGTTACTCAAGCGGCTGAGATCTAAGGAGCATGTCTCATGAGACTCTTGTCTCCAGTTAACCACCATAAGAACTGGAAGAGAAGCTGTGGCTCCAATGGTTGAGCCTTGGGCAAAAATGTTCAGGGATAGCACCCAGGCCCTGAGTTCAAGCCCTTGGACCAGCACTCACAAACAAAAAAAAGTATAAAAGCAGACTTTTCCTTTGTCAAAGTCACCTTCTTCTAAGGGGAATATCAAAAACAAATGCTAGCCTTATCTTGAAGATCCAGAATAAACAAAAGTACTGTGAATCCTTTTATCACCAGAATCTGTGTACTCTAAAAGGCCTCCTCCCTCCTCCTTCTGGGGATTTGGGGTCTCTAGTCACAATGCCTCACACACATATTCTAGGCAGATCCTTCTGCTTCCCCCAGGGCCCTCACAAAGCCCCAGTGGATCCATATAAACATACATAGGACCATGTGAATATCTAGCCGGTTGCCATAGCCCCATCCTGGGAACATGGGACATCACTTTTGCAGTTCTTACTGCATTATCCCACCGCACCCCATCCCACTCCACCATGTTCTGTGCCTGCTTACAGTCCACTGATATTTCTAATACTTGCACTTGCCCCTGACTTGGATATTCTGCATGCACAGCAAGACCTCATCACCAATCTACAGACATAATTCTTTTTTTGTGTGTGACAGTTATAGGTCCTGAACTCTAGGCCTAGGCACTATCCACTCAGCAATTCAGCTCAAGGCTAGTGCCTTACCACTTGAGCCACAGACCACTTCCGGCTTTTTTCTGCTTATATGGTGCTGAGGAATGGAACCCAGGGCCTCATGTATGTGAGACAAGCACTCCACCACTGACCCAACTTCCCAGCCCCTACAGACATAATTCTGATTTTACCCTACTCCTCAGACTGAGATCTTTGGTGAAATATATTCAATTGGCTCAGATGAGCATCCTTATCTGGTCCTCTGGCCACTGGATAAGGACATGAGACTCTCATCTACAATTAACCAACAAAGAGCCAGAAGTGAAGTTTGGTTCAAGTGGTAGAGTGCTAGCCTTGAACACAAAAGCTCAGGGACAGCACTCAGGCTTTGAGTTCAAGTCGAAAGCGGAGGGATATGGTAGAGTACTAGCCTGGAGTGAAAAAGCTAAAACAGTACCTAGGTCTGGAGGTCAAGACCAAGTACTGTCACAAAAAAAAAAAAGAAGAAGAAAAAGAAGAAAGAAAGAAAGAAAAAACCTTGAAGTAACTTGATTACTTGATTAACCTATCAGATTTTTTTCAGCTCTTCTGTTTCCATATCTCCATTTGGTAAAAATCTCTTCTTTTGCTCTTGTCTGGTAGGAGCAAGCTCCTTTTCTATTTTGTAGAATGAAGGCTGCTCTGATTCATATATCACAAATAAATGCCACTTCAACCTAAATGTGTTACCATTTCCTTTTTAGACAGGGGGAGAGTGTATGATACTTTTTGACTTATCTGTATCTCTCAGTGTCCTGAGTTTCTCATCTCACTGAGAAAAGCATGGTGTGATCTAATACAAAGAGGAATCTGCCGGGGCTGGGAAGGTGGCTCAGTGGTAGAGTGCTTGCCTTGCATGCCTGAGGCCCTGGGTTCGATTCCTCAGCACCACATAAAGAAAAAAGCCAGAAGTGGCACTGTGGCTCAAGTGGTAGAGCGTTAGCCTTGAGCTGAAGAGCTGAGGGACAGCACCCAGGCCCAGAGTTC